CAAAAACCAAACAAATGGACGGATACAACTTATTTCCTGTCTCTGTCCACTGAAAAGGCCTAGAAACACTGACAAACCCAGTAGCAATAAGCACCGGACCTGGTCTCGAAATACAAATTTCCACTGAAGGGAACCAGGGTTCCTCTTAACAAAATAAGGCAGGAATACCAATATATCTATTAACTGATGCAGAATTTGAGGCAACCATATTATAATAAGGGATATTGTTTAATGATAAAATGGAAATTTTGTAAAGAAAACCTGATGCTACAGCACCAAACAACTGAAAAGCAAAATACCCAGAAGTGCACCGCCACGGCAAGGCTGCTCCACGGCTGACATGTTTCCTGTTGTGTCAAATCATGAGAACATGAGAACATCATGTCTGGTTGTCTCTCTGTGATGTTAACATCGATCAAGGCTCCAGGTCTCGTCAGACTGATCTTCCCATTATCAATTTCCCTCTTGGCTCTTCCTCTAACGGTTTAGCTTCTGTTGATGGTCATTGCCCAGATTCATTATTTTATTTTGGGTTGCAAAATGTAATATGGTAAGGTTATTCCTTCTTCATTTTTTAGCTGGAATTCTAGAAAGAAGGATCTTTCTTCATAAATTATTTGATTAACCTGAGGTGTGATTCATACAGGAAAGGAAGAATAAACAAGTGATTCTTACTCTTTATTCACAAGTTTTCAGAATAATGAATTGGTTCCCTTGCAGTTCCTAAAGGTGACCAATAAGGATTTTTTTCTGGGGGGAGGGGTATTGTTACCACACCAGGTCCGTTTTGGCCCGCCGCCCAGAAAGCCAATCACTGAGATGATGAGATTGCAGAGATAGAGGGTTTAATCACAAGGCAGCCAAGTGAGGAAAAGGGAGAACAAGTCTCAAATCCGCGTCTCTAAAAATAGGGCCTCAAGGGTATTTATGGGGGGGCAAGGTGGTCTGATATGATTGGAGGTGAGGAGAGATGAGGGAATTGATGATCTGCGCAAGTGTAGTCAGCCTTCATGCCTCTTCAGAGGACACATGTTCACAGAATGGCGGCATTAGCCTGCCCTGAGGGTGGGGTTCCAACCTCTTGCCATCCAAAGGGCCCAGTTGATGGGTTGGTGGTCTCAATCCAGCATGAAGTGGAAAAGGGGTTCAGTTCCTGAAAAAAATAGCTCAAACACCCATTACCATGGTGACCCAGGCTCCAGGGGGATATTACCTATGGGAACCTAGTGGGAGTCAGATAGCATATTACCTAAACAGCACAGTTAACAAGGGGCAAGTTTATCATGGAGATTTAAGTCTTCATTTTCCCTTCTGATAAGTTTCTAGGTAAGGTCATTCCCAGCCCCCGCTTCCTGGTACAGGGAAGAAGATACCTTTACAAATGGAGATTTTCTTTACAAATGTAAATGTATTTTGTAAAGGGTAACCAGCAGTAAGAATGGGCTTAGCACAGACCCGCCCAGACACCAGAGATGTCTATGGTGGTGGCCTGTTCTGGGGGCAGGCCTCCCATCCCAAACTCCTTTGGTAGTTAGTGGGGGTGGGGGCCTATTCTGATCTCCCATAGTTACTAGCTGTTTAATCACCAATGGCTGACTCTTTGCTGGTTTCAGTATCATTAAGCATTCATGGATTTTAACATATTTGATCTGTTTCAATACACTGCAATTATTATTCTTTTGATGCTCAAAAATTATTCCATTTTGCCAATGGGAGGCCCTCAAGTCCACTTCTGAGTGCTTTTGACATGGCCCCACCAGTGTCCCACAGCATCCTTGCTCTCTTATGTGACAATGTATTCCAGGCTCGTGTTGAACGTTTCCTTCTCCAGACCTGGAAGCAGCCATTTTTCCAGGGAGCCCTGGTTCCTCTTAGCGAACATTTGCACTTAGAGACCATAGTCCTGGTGCTTGTTGGTACTGGGCTGGTCATTGTACAGGACTTTTCAGTGGACAGAGCTAGGGAATAAGGTTTTTTGTTTGGCTGCTTTTGTTTTTTCTTTTTACAGAAAACATATCATGAGTTCATACAGAGATTTACAACTCAAATTTAGCAAGACAGAACTTTTACTTAATTTGTAATACATTTCTTAATTTATTTATTTTTTTTTCTTTTGTGAGGAAGATCAGCCCTGTGCTAACATCTGCCAATCCCACTCTTTTTTTTTTGGCTGAGGAAGACCGGCCCTGGGCTAACATCCGTTCCTATCTTCCTCCACTTTATATGGGACGCCGCCACTGCACGGTTTGCCAAGAGGTGTGTTGGTGCGCGCCTGGGATCCGAACCAGCGAACCCCGGGCTGCCGCAGCGGATAGTGTGCACCCAACCGCTTGCGCCACTGGGCCGGCCCCCATTTCTTAATTTCTTTAATGTTTATTTTTGCATTGTTTTTCTTTTATACCTAAAACATTCTTAGTGGCATTAATGTCATTCTTATTTGCTTCGTTTTTTATTTATTTAGTTTTACAAAAACAATACTCTGTACTTACTAACGAAATAGAAGTGAAAAACAGTTTAAGGTTCCTCTGTAGTTCTTTTTGCCTTAGGATATGTCCCACTAGGAAGTACAGTCAAATTACTGTGTTTTAAAGTTACTCGAAATAATTCTTCTCTGTGTGGTTAAGCAACATACTCAATACCTAGTAATATATATTTCTTCCACTTTGCTTTCAACTTTTAGGGATTGCCTTTTTAAGAATTAAATTGTTTCAGAATTATGTAAAACATTTATACTGTTTCAAAATTAAGTCTACAAAACAATTGCCCTCAAAGAATTCTGGCTTCCATCCTTGTCCCTTTGTTAGTTCCCTTTGCTGATAACCATTTGTTCTGGATACTAAGGCTGGGGGACAAATTACCCACAACTTAGTGGTGTGCACAACCATTTATCATACTCAGCAATTTTGTGCGTCATCAGTTCAGACAGGCCACAGCAGGATGACTTGACTGTGCTTCGGATGTCGGGGCCTCAGCTGGAAGAGTCCAGGGCTGGGTGCTGGGTCATCTGCAGGCAGCTGCTGCGGGCTTTCAGTTCCTTTCTAGGAGGGCCTTTCCATGCGTCTCTTTGTACAGGTGGTCTGCGCTTCCTCACAGCCTGCTGGCTGGTTTCCTCAAGATGAGCATCCTAAGACTAAAAGAGAGCAAGCCCCTGGAGGCCATAGGACCTCAGAAGCCCCACCGCGTCCCTCTGCTGCATACTACCTGGCAGGGGTCAACAATCGCATCCGTGATCCATCCGTGGAGGGGTCTCCTTATCTCGATGGAGCAGGACAAAGATCTGGAAGAGTCTCTGGGCTGGAAAGAAGGCCACGGTCACTTTTGGAAAATACAAAGGGTCACAACATTTTAATTAGATTTTGGTTTGTCTTTCCATTTTGAATGCCTAAAGACAGAAGGAGCATTCCATGATGCAGTGGATCTGGGGGAAGACTGGGAAAGATGGACAAGTGCTGGTGGTGAGGAGAGACAGGAGCCCCAGGAAAGAGGAAGTGGGGTGTGAGCAGGGAGCGCAGAGCTGAGCTGTGATGCCAGTAAGAGGCCCCCATTTCTCCATGTACTTTGCGGGAAAGAGGCAGCATGTTCCTGTTTGAATGAGCTGACATTTTTTTAAATTGACTTGTAAACCCCTCTGTGTAAGGGATAGTTATTATGGGACTTTTTCAAAGCACAAGCTGTTCTTTGCAGGGCAGCCTCCTATGGACCGCGTATGGGCTCCCACGGCCCAACTCACTCAGAGGGAGTCTTTCTGGGAGAAGGTGGAGGGTGGGCGGAACGAGTGCCGTGTGCCAGGCTCTCTCCTGGTCACTCATGGGCACATCTGGAATCCCCTGTGAACTTGTTTAAGGCCACAGAGCTGGTAACGAAGATAGCCTTAGTACCACCAGATGGCTGGCTTTAGAGCGAGCACTCTTACCAGTACGTTTGGGCATTAGTTATTTGTAGTTATGTTAGCTACAAAAACTATTAATCAAGACTAAATATTTATATAATATCCACTACATTGACTGTGAATATAATATTCAACAATTATTCACGATGCAGAAATGCTTCTCTGAAGGAAAACAGCTCAGTTACGTAGTAAAACCTCGGAAGTCTAAATAGTTTCTGTTTTTAAGATAAATCATTTTTGAAAACAGTCCAAGTAAACAGCCTTTTCTAATATCCATGTTGGAGTGTATATGAGTGTGTGGGGGGGTGTGTGCACACGTGTGCATGTGTGTGTGAGCTCATTTTATTTCTTTTCTTTTTTGGGAACTTTTATGAGAGGAGTCAGAAATATTATAAATAATAGACTATTTAGGTGAAAACTTGGTGATGATTCCTTGGCCTTGAGGTCTAAAATTTGTCATCAAAGAATAAAGGTAATACAATCCTTTATTTCACATTTCAGAATATCATGCTGTTTGATTTGATTTAGTCTTACTCTCTGTCCTAAAAATTTCTTCCTGTGGTTCTGACTATTGAAGTGAATCTTCAAGAAAAATTATACTGTGAGAAACACTTAGCTTGTCTTTTTCTGTTCCTTTCCTGTTGCTGTTTTTTCATAGCCACAGCTCAGAATAAACACTTCCACAAAATTGGTACGACGGGAACCAGGCTGACGTGGCAAGGCCACAAGTATTGGTGCTACAAGAAGAGAAAGGTCAGAGGGAAACACCCAGAAAGTGTCCTAACTTTCTCGGTGTATAAGTAATTTAGAAAACAAAGTATTTAAGGGAAGACTCTCTGAAGCGTGACAAAGCCAGTTAGAGCTTGAGAACCCTAAATGGATGCAACAGAGACTGGGGACAAAGTTGCTCCTCTCACACTGTTAACACACAAGGTCTAAAACCAACCCCCCAGCACCAGGCTCAGGGCTAAGGCAGAACCTCCAGGTTCCCACCTGGGCTCCTTGCTGTCCTTCCGTCCCAGCTGAGGGTCCAGAGGTTCCATAGTAAGAGAGCAGCACTGAGCTCCTCATGGGCACCAGGCACACGGGGTCATGCTAAGCCACAACTGACCTGTTCTCCTTCAATCATCACGACAGCGACTAGAGAGCATCGCTTTCCTATTTTACAAGTGAGGAGGCCCAGGTTAGAGAAGCCAGTTAGCTTGCCAGGCTTACACAGCGAACAAGCGGGAGAATCTGAACTTACACCCAGACAAGCTACTGTCCGAGTCCGTGCTCCTAACCACTGCACGCCCTCCGCGCTCCAATGAGATGATTGACCCCAAAGCCCTTGTCCACCTGAGCCTCCCCTCACCCAGGACACAGCCGTATGTTCAGAAGACACCCAGGAAATGTGAGCTCTGATCCAAATTAGCACGAATCCTCCCTGGGCTCTTCCTGGCCAGGACCCCGCAAGCTCCCGGAGTCTGTTTCCTTGAGAGCACACACAGATATTCAGGAATGTAGTGTTTTACAACTTTGCACTCTGACATTTGGACAGTCAGCTGTTCCACAACTGAGTGTTCTTGTTTATCAGTTTGCATCCAACAAATTCCCCACCAACAGACGCTGCTCGCCCACACGGAGCTTCTCAGTCAAGTTGGCACTTCTGCCGTGGTTCCTGTTACTCTGCCCCACGAGGCTGTCTCTCCCTGGGAAAAGCAAAGGGCACTCCTGCCCAGAACATACCGGCAGTCTACCTCCACCTCTCACGCTTCGTTTTTCCCCTTGATTTTTGTAAGGTCTTCGTTCTGCCTCCTCATTTATGGTCAATCATATTCCTCTTCCCTGTTATTTACTGCCTTCCCCATCTGTCCTCAGTGTCTGCCCAGTGACTGCATGCTCCCACTTGTGGCAGGAGGATATTTTCTACTCCACTGATGCCAGGCTTGGCCACGTGACTTGTTTGGGCCGAAAGAATTCGAGTGGAAGCTCAGACACCAGGCCCCAAGCTTTCAGAGCCACCCTGTGGTTCTGCCACTGACCGGCCACTAGAACGGCAGCTGCCGGCTATGGCTGTTCCTTCAGCCTGGGTCCCAGAGTGAAAAAAACCACGGACGGCAGCTGCACCCCACCCGCAGCCAGCGTGGAACCTCTGCCGGTGTTCTTAGTAAGCCACTGAGATTTGGGGCTGTATGTTATTGTGGCATAACCTGGCAAAAGCTGACTCGGGAATGGGAAGCCAAGAGGAGTTAAATCAGCCAGAAGTTGTGTGATAAAGCTCCTTAGTCTCCGAGGCACAGGCATTGATTTAACATCCCTTGTTCACAGGGATGCTGTTGCCATCTTGTCCCCCCTCCCCCTCTGTGGACATGATTCTGCACAAGCTAAGGCTGTGCATCTCTTAAACCTCACAACTCGTCCCCTTTACACCGTGCTGTGGGATCCAATAAGTGACCCTCATTTCCTCCCGCCTCCTGCCTGCTGGAGCCATCCTCGCGCGCCCCTGTGACAGCAGGCCAGTCTCCAGAGCCTTTATTCAGCGTAAAGGAGAACTCAGTTGTCCCCTTCATCTGTAGGAGGTACCCAGTCCTTCTCTCCTGCGTCTTCCTTCCGGATGAGGGTCCTTGCCGCCCGGGGGCGTGTCCGGGGCCGGGGGCGTGGCGTCGGGGCGTCAAGGGGCGTGTCCGCAAGCCCGGCGCGGATCTGTCACCCCTTGGAGCTATCGAGCCGGGGGCGTGCCCGGGGCTAGGGGTGTGTCCTGGTCGGGGGCGTGCCCGGGGCCGGGGGCGTGGCGTCGGGCTCCCGAGGACGGAAACGCGCCCGGCCCGCGGAGGTCGCGCCGGGGGTCGCGGTCGGCTGGGGCAGGGACGCGTTTGCGCCTCGCGGCCGGGGTAAGGCGTCAGGCCCCCTGGCGCTCGGGTCGTCGGCGGGCTCGGGGCTGGGGTCCGGGGCCCCCTCGGCACGGCGGGCTCGGGCCTGTGCGTCCAGACCCGCCGCGATCCGCCTGTCGGGCCGGCTGAATCCTCCTGGTGGGCCCAGTGGACCGCGCTGCTCGCCGGCTGCCCGGCCAGATGCAGAGAAGGACTTGCGTTCAGGGAAACGCAGGGCCTGGCGCTGGCCATGCTGGCCCCGCGTCCTCGAAAGCTGGGCATTTGTGCACCTTTCGTGTTCTCTCTTGCAGATCTCGGCGCGATGAGGCCTCGGGCACTGCACGGCGTCCTCCCGGGCGCGCTCTGTCTGGCGCTTTGGTGCCTGTGCGGCGCCCTCGGGCTCTGGCGGAGGTGAACCCCTGGGAGTGGGAGGTGCCGTCCCACCCCGCCCTGCGCGGTGCCCAGTGCGCCCCGGGGTCTCCACCTCGGCCGGGGCGTGGGGGCGCGCGGGGCAGCAGCTGCAGAGGGGAGGCAGGTGCCGGGTGGACAGAGCGTGTCGGTGCTCTGAGATTCTCCCGGGGGTTGTTGACGCGCACTGAGTTTAATTTCTAGTATAGCGCTGGTGCAATGGTGGTGGTTCCTCTTTCTAAGTTTCTTCCTTTGGTCCTTCCTCTCCCTCCCTCTCGTTCCTCGTTTCCATCCTTTCTGTTGCAGCTCACGAGTTAGGGGTGAGCAGGCTGTGTTGTAGAGGACTGTCATTTTACTTTTGTAAGACACCAAAATCTCAGTACCAGATTTCAATTTTTTTCTTTTATTTTATTTAATGATCGAGTTCATAGAAGGATTTCATACTTATATAGTAGGTGTGAGAAAAAGTGGGTTTTACTTTTTAATTAAGCACCATTGCTGTTTTATCACGGACTTTAAAAGGTAACAATATATTTCAGTTTTCCCAGAAAGTGTGTTTCCTGAAAAAGAGCTGCATTTATTAGTTAGTTTTGGCATCAGGTTAAGAGTGTCACGGGAGGGTAGTGTGGTGTACTGGTGGAGGACCAACTGCTAGTTCAGATCCAGATGTGTGACCCTGGAGCTCTCTGTGCTGCAGTTTACTCATGTGTGGAGTAGAAATAATGGCCCCTGCCTCCTAGAGTTGATGCGAGGAGAAATCAGTTCATATACAGAATGTGCTTAGAACCATGCCCGGTCAATGGTAATCAATAAATGTTAGCTAAAGACCTGAGGCTGTGATATGTGGTCAGCCCCCTTCTCTTATAATTCATGCAACTGATATAATTGGACAGCCGCTGTGAGCAAGACATGGTTTGGGCAACACAAAGTTGATTCAGACCCTCGAGCGCTTCGCAGATCAGCGGGCATTTTCTCAAGTACTAGCTGGGCTGAGAACTTTCCTTTCATCCTCTGCCTAGGGGGCCTTTCTCTTTACAGCACACTTAGCTTCTCCATTGCTTTGGGGGTTGCTTCTCTTACATTCACATCACCCTTTTGCCTGGATTGTAGGTGGAGAGTCTTGATAGTTTTATTGTCAACTATGTGATGGTCACACTGATGCTCAGGTCTTCCTGGCTATTGCCTCAACTTCCAGCCTCAGTTCCCACCTGTGTGAAGCAAGGGTTTTGCACCCACGAAAAAAACAGCTTCTAACACTGCTTCCACCTCTCATCCTCACGCTGCTTTCCATCTCTTTTTCCTTTTATACTGAGCACTTGCATCATTAATTCAGACTTAAAACTAAGTTTTCATAACATTGCGAATCCTATACTTATTCAGCAGTACTCAGTTATTTACAAAAGCCGATGTGTAGAACTTATTTCTGTTTTACTTTTGAATCTTCCCTTCTAACATTTATCCTGAATTAAATGTCTGCTTGAATTATATTCCCCTGTTGCTGCTGATGTTTTCCATCTATAGAGTGAGTATTTTTGCAAGCTACCCTTTCTGCCTCAGTCTCTTTGCACGCTAAGCCTTGCACACGTGATTGAAGGCTTCCTGCTGAGAGTTCCAAGTGTGCATACAGCGCCACAGTCCCTTCTGTGACAGTGTTAGGGTCGGGTGAGTTTTTCACGTGTGCAGGTAACATGGTGCAGGTACCACGTTCTAGACGGTGCCCAGGGGTGTCTGAGGGAGCACCTGTAATCAGACGTCACCAGTTCTGCAGAGAACATGTGAACCTTCACACCGAGCGTAACCCTAACCCTAACCCTAACCCTAACCCTAAACAGCAGCAGCTCATGCTAGTTCAGGTCATGTTTTGTTGCCAAATGAACTACAGAACAATTCAGTTTTCAGGGTTTCACATGTGCAGCTAAGGGATAAGAGTCTGTTGCTGACTGCATGAACATCCTCGGGAAAAAGGCGCTTTATGGCTTGTTCCCTCACTCCAGGTCCTAACTGCCCTTCAGTGAGGCCTTCACTGGCTACCTGACCTCTCTTCCTCTGCTTGAAATTATAATCTGTAATTTGAACTCCCCTCCCCACCCCTGCATGCCTATCCTCTCCTTAGGTACATTCTTTACCACTTTTTGCTATATATACCATGTGTGTTTTCTTACTTAGCATGGTCATTGTCTCCCTCCCTGGCATGTGTGCTTCAGGAGGGTAGGGACTCGGTCCCTCGGGACCCCCATCCCACTGTAGTGCCTGGCCTGTAACAGGCACTCAGTGTTTCTTGAATGAATGAATACTGGCATGAATGGATGGATGGATGAATTTTTCTGTAATTTTAAAAAAGTTCTTGAAAAAAAACTTCCTTTTTCTTTTCACAGTGGCAACCATGAGTGGAAAAAACTAATTATGGTTCATCACTGGCCTACAACAGTGTGCAAGGTGAGTTTTCTGCCTCAACTGGCCCCTTTGGTCCAGTGGAAGAGTTGGGCGACATGCGTGTTTCTGCCCCGAGTGCCTCTGGCTGACGGAGCCTTCCGGCCTCTCCTTGCCCTGAGAGGTGTCGGTGGCCGGAGCCGCTCCAGCATAGCTGTGCCTTCCAGGCAGGACACTGTTCCTCCAGGAGGGCTGTGCGCTGGGTTCCTAGGGGTGTGGCATAGGAGCACAGACTGGGTGGCTCAGAACATCCGAAATCCATTCTTGCACAGTTCTGGAGGCTAGAAGTCTGAAGCCACTATGTGGGCAGGGTTGGTCCCTTCTGGAAGTTTGTGGGGAGAACGAGTTTCACATCTTTTCCGAGCTCCTGGTGTTGCCGGCGATCCTTGGTGTGGCTTGTCTTGTAGACACAGCACTCCAGTCTCTGCTGTCTTACCTGGTGTTCCCCATTGTGTGTCTCTCTGTTTCTTATAAGAACCCCGGTGATTGCGTTAGGGCCCACCCTGGTCCAGTCTGATCTCACCTTAGCTTGATGCCTCTGCAAAGACCCTGTTTCCAGATACGGTCCCGTCCACAGGTCCTGGGGTTAGGACTTCAGCATGTCTTTTTGGGGGACACAATTCAGCCCACAACAGGCATCGACCTGTGTCCTCCCTCGTTACTGGAAGTCTTACTAAAACGTCTCCCTCGAGAGGAAGGGAGCTGACGGCCGTTCCCTGCCTGCCTTGCTGTGCTCAGCACAGTCGGCCCCTTTCTCCCCTCAGGCTGGTCTCTCGCCCTGGCTCTGTCTCACCGAGTTCTGTCAGCGTGTCACTGCTGAGCTTCTCATGAGAGCCTCCAGCTGGAGGGGGCCCAGCTCAGCCTGCTCCCTACAGGCCCCGTTCCCCCTCCTCCGTCCTGTGGGTGGTTTGTGAAGCTGATCCTGGCATTAGCTACACAATTATTTGAAGGTGTGTCATCATATTGCTGAGCTATCCCTAATTTTATTAGTGTTTCTGGAATTTTGACTTGAGACTTCTAAATTTTGAGGCCTTTTCTTTTAATTACTGCGAGTGGGAAGTCGCCAATAATTCTGTATAGTTTGGGCATCTCGTGTGATAGTAGGGGCACTCTTGCTTTTGTTTCTGCCTCCAGCATTTAATGACAATGACATTCTTTTCCACTTCCTCACTGATTTATTTATTTCTGTTGACAAACAAAAATGAAATTTCACGTGTATCCTCACCAAATTATGCTCTTCATCCGGAAACTCATTTCTAACTGCGTATCTCTTACTATATTAGTCTCCTTGCTGCGCTTTTTTTTTTTTTTTTGCTGAGGAAGATCGGCCCTGAACTAACATCCATGCCAATCCTCCTCTTTTTGCTGAGGAAGATCAGCCCTGAGCTAACATCTGCCAATCCTCCTCTTTTTGCTGAGGAAGACTGGCCCTGGGCTAACATCCGTGCTCATCTTCCTCCGCTTTATATGGGACGCCACCACAGCATGGCCTGACAAGCGGTGTGTAGGTCCGCACCCAGGATCCCAACCTGCGAACCCCGGGCTGCTGAAGTGGAGCACATGAACTTAACCACTGCGTCACCAGGCCGGCCCTTGCTTGCTGTGTTTTCAGTTTTTCAAAGTTCACAACTTACTGTCTCTGCCCCAGTGCTGTTTCTTTGCTCTGGGGCGACTGTGGAGCTGGGTGCGAGTAGGACAGAGTCACCCGTGACCAGTTGTCAGTTTGTTGGAGATCTAGTTCTCTGTCCTGGGCACTTAGGGGGCCATTGGTTCCCTCAGGAAGGCCCTGTGTATCTTGGGTGACACTAGAGGCTGTGCCTTCTGGGCACGGGACGAGGTTGGTTGGTGGGTGAGGCATTTATGTGACGGAGTATGAGTGTGTTCCTGGGCCCTGACTGTAAATATTCACGGAAGTGCATTCCTGCCTTGAGGCTTCAGAAATGAGACTTAAAAAAATCAGCTGTACTAGTGAAATGTCATTGTTAGGGAATTAATTTCAAACCAGGATGGCCGTGAACAGGATTCTGCTAGTCCTTTCAAGGTGTCATCTGGGCAGCAGGGCTGCCCCTGGGCTCCTTCCCCATGAGCGAAGTGGGCATTACAGGTGCAGGGACAGGTCTGCTTGCTGCACGGGTTCTCGCTGCTCAGCACAGCCCCTCAGGCACATGCTGGGCTGACGGTGAAAGAAAGCTGCACCTTGGCCCCGGTCACCCTGCACAGGCTCGTCCTCTAAGACCCTGGATGTAGAGGGGGCAGAAGGCCCACCCTCGGGTCCTGGCCTTGCTCTTCACCAGCCGGGCCCCTGTGGGAAGCAACCCCCTGCTTTGGACTGTGGTTTCCTCGAGGATGAAACTGGGGTGTGGGTAGAAGTGAGGTTAAGCCCTCTCGCTCTGATCCCACGCTTTGTCGTCCTGCTCTGTCATTCTTTTTTTTTTTTTTTTTAAATTTTATTTTTTTATTTTTTCCCCCAAGCCCCAGTAGATAGTTGTAAGTCATAGTTGCACATCCTTCTAGTTGCTGTATGTGGGACGCGGCCTCAGCATGGCTGGAGAAGCGGTGCATCGGTGCGCGCCTGGGATCGGAACCCGGGCCACCAGCAGCGGAGCGCGCACACTTAACCGCTAAGCCACGGGGCCGGCCCTGCCCTGTCATTCTGTAGGTCCCCTTCCTGCCTCCTCACAACATTTCAGTCCCTTCACCCAGACCCTGCCTAATTTCCAGACCAACCACAAGAAGCAGCTGCCTCCCGCAAGAGCTGATTCAGAGAGGAAAGGCTTGAAAACATGAGCACCACACCTCACCTGTTCCTCCCCGACCCCGACATCTACTTTTTATTTGCTTATTCACTGCAGGGACACGGGCATGAGTTCTGTCTCATCTGGCCTGATCGCGGAGATAGATTCTTGATGGTTGGTTGTTTTGGAAAAACTCCATTTTAGCTAAGCAATTTGAAGTTCCCTAAAGAGTGTTATACTGGGATTTTTATCTCTCTGAGTTGATCTTTATTATTAAGGATATGCTCCTATTCACACCTTGACGTTTCTGTTGGCTCCGAATTCTCAATACTTATTATTTCACTAACGTATTTGGACCCAGTGCCTGAGCAAACTTGAGTTTAGCAGGGTATTGTCAGCCTTTTGTTCTCAAATATTGATTTTTGATTGTATGACAAGGAAATTCTGGGCAAATATGAGTGATTCCATCAGACTGACTTAATTGGAGAGCACATAAAAAAAGCAAAAATAGATTTTTAATTCAGTTATCTAAATTGTTGGAGGATTGGTCCACTCATTTCAGATAGAACATCCTGCCCCCTTGTAGTTGCCTTGTGAATGTGTTGCTGGAATGAACTAATTGTAAATTACCACGGAATTTATTTTGTGTTCATCCTGCACGGTATCTCTTTTATGTATGTCTAAAGAAAGGAAGGTTGCTAAATGTATTTAAATAAGCAATGAACCCATTATTTTCTGTGTCTTTTCTCCATAGGAAATTGAAAACGACTGTAGCAACCCTCCGGACTACTGGACGATACACGGATTATGGCAAGCACTTAATGCAGTTAAAACTTAATTAAACGCTCAAGGGAAGCTGGCTAACATGAAACTCTAGCTTGTTCTGATCCTAATATTTATACTTGTGATTTTTATTAGGAAACCAGATCCTTATTTAAAAATATCTTTAGTCTTTCTAACTTAACCCTAATTCTGTTGTCGTTCTGTTTTGATAGAACAGTAACAGTCGAGTTTAAATATGCATTTGGGGATTCTGGGTAGGTTTTAGGATCACTAAATTTTAATGATCTCATTTTATTCTTCTTTTGGGGGCAGTAAATAAATGTATAAAAATAAATAAATGTGTGTAATTATATATACATTATATGTATCTGTATTATACACACATCACAGATACCGAAATTCACTTTTCTGGTTTTGCCTGCATTTTGTTTAGTTCGTTCTTTTTTCATCTGAGCATATATTTATGATGTTAAACTGTGTACGTTACCTTGCCGTGTGAGAGGAATCCGTCTTGTCCCACTGCTCCCAAGAGAGGAGGGGCCCTTCTGGCTTTTGCTGGCACACGCATGTTCCTCCGGTACAGGGGTTCCTAGGAAGCAGAGTAAACTGCAGCCTGGGGACCGGCCTCTAGTCCCACCTTCGCCCCAGGCTTGTCTCTGGGACCCCGGCTTTGTCGGGTTTTCCTGCTGTCCTCTCTGCTTCATTTCTGAGCTGGGATGACAGTGCACAGCGCTGCCCTTGTCCCAGTGGGGGAATTGCGCTGGTTTCAGGTTCCTGGGCCAGCCTTTGACAACGGAGACATGACAGGGTTGTAGAAAGTAGATTTGGAGACCTCGTGAACTAAGCTGCATCTGAGAACTGAGAGGTGACACGTCCAGAATTAGACACGAGGACAGACTTACAGTTCAGGAGGGAGCATAAGCATGCTTGGTATTTAAAAAAGTCATACCAGCTGATCTGAAGTCGTTACTTTCTGCGCACGTTGTATATGTTGTCTCATTAGTCCTCATCGCCAAGGAAAGAGATGGAAACTTGCCGTTGTCACACTCCGGTTGTGGAGTGGAGATTTGCAGAGGCAAATAACTGAGAACCCCAGCAGGAAACCCCACCAGACCTAACGCTGGAGCTCTCCATACTGGGTTCTTTATTTTGCTTCCCCTGCTAGAAAGTCGGCCTGTTTGCATTATGCCTGGACGTTTTTAACACAACTCTTTCCCCTTTGAAAGAAACCCGAACTGTGACTCCCATGGCATAAGGAATTCTTTATTAAACGACTCCCATGGCATAAGGAATTCCCGCTTAGAATTTCTCTTCCCTTTGTTCTCTGCAGACCTTAGTGGAAGTGTTTTCTCATGTCATTTGGAACACATCCCAACCAAGACTAATTTCTCTTTATTTTTCTAATTTTAATTTCAAGGCCTGATAAAAGTGAAGAATGTAATCGATCGTGGCACTTTAATTTAGAAGAGATTAAGGTATTAACTTTTATTAATTATGTTACCACTGCAGAGCATTGCACTAGACTAACTCTTTTCTTCACAGGTGTACCCTCAAAGTCATGTTTTAAAGTGAGGGGATCAGGAACATATTCACCAGGATTGAATCCCTGGTACTTGTTTAGTATTAAGTGATGTCTAAAATAACCTCAAATTAAATACGAACTAACTTTTCTTCCCCTCTGTGCTGGGCCCAGACCTCTGCAAATGAACTGTGTGAAGTGAAGGCTGACGTGAGCAGAGCCCACCCTGGCCCTTGCCTGCCAGCCCGTTAGTCCCCATTAGTGCCGCCGAGTCCACGTGGGCTTGTCGTGTGGTTAGGCGGGTCTAGATGGCTCTGGCTTGGAGAAGAGGCCCATGGTGCCCACAGCCATCCTTTCTGGTGTGGGTGGGGAGGTTTCTAGGAGAGACTGTGGGCAGGGAGGAAGTGAAGGGCCTTTCCAGTACGAAGGCTCGTGTTACAGAATAACTCACGGGGCTGGAATTTACGAGAGTCATTAGCAGAAGTGCTCTTTTGAGACATTCCTCCCTCAAGTTCACCTGCGCGCCGCACACCCCCCCCCCACACACACACACGACGGCTCACCTTTCCTCGGGGTGCCGACAGCCCCCTGTCATCCATCAGGGTAACTAGGACCTGGATTTACAGGGCGGGGTCTGTGAGGCCCCGGGGGCCACCCTGAAAATGTAGGGCAGAATCACGATTTGCTAGAATTATGGGTCCTTCCTGGGAATGTACGCCCCCAGAAGGACAAGGTGATAGTTCCAAACCCATCGCAATTTCTAGTCCAAATGGAGTTGTTTCCCCCTTTCTCCTTCCTGTGAGGACATTCAGTGGTGTGAGCCAGGAGTCCTAAGAGGCCGGGGACCATCTATAAGAATTATCAGTACGTCCCGAAGCCTGGTGACATCTCTTGTTCTTCAGACATACTTTCCTCTTCCCGGACTCACTTCAGCTTCCCCTAATACCATGGAGATGTTCCTGGTGAGAATCTTGTGATCCTCAAGAGGAATTAGAAGTTAATTTATTCAGTAATGATGTACTGAGTGCCTACAGTGTGCCAGACCCGGTGCCGGGGGCTGGAGACACACGGGAGCAGAACTAGAAGTGGTCTCTGGCCCAAATTGCTTATATGGTGAGATAGGTGCTAATGAAGTCATCATGCACATACAGAAGTACTAACTGGGTGTCTGGAGGGAAAAGTACTTATAGCTTAGGACAGTGGACCTGAGCTAGGTTCCTCTGCAGAGGTGATATTTGAGCTGGAACCTGACTTAACTAGGTGAAAGGTGAAGAAGACTGAGGAAGCAGCATGTGCAAAGGCCCTGGGGTAGAAAGTACAGAGGTTTTGAGAAGCTGGGAGGAAGCCATTGTGGCTAGGGGATGAGCCATGAGCCTGGATAGTGTTCAGGACCAGTTCATACAGAGCCTTGTGTGCTGGTTAAGAATTGTTTCTTTGACTTAAGACCCAAGGGGAAGTCATTGGAAGCATTCAGGCTGGAGAGTAAAGTAACCCAATGTGTTTTTTGTAATGGTTGCCCCGCTGCCATGTGAGTGGTGAGAGTTGTGTGGGAAGATGAAGGAGGCTCCTGCAGGATCCCTGCAGGAGGTACAGAGCTTCAATAAACGGAGGCCTTGGAAATGGAGAGGGGAAGGACATTCTGGAAGTAGAATGCAGGGGCTCAGGGGTTGATCAGCTGGGAGAGGAAGCATCAGCCAGGACTCTGGGCTTCACTAGGTGGGCGTCAGTCTCCTTCCCTGACATGGGGGATGCTGGCAGGGGCCCGGGCTTTGGCGGAGGTGTGACCAAGAGTCGGCCTGGGCCGTGTGGGGTTGGAAGTGCCCTGGAGTGTCCGGGTGGGTTCAGTATGTCAGGAGAGGTCGGGGCTGGAGGGGAGCTCCGGGCGCAGTCAGCGCATGGCCCGTAAACTGAAGCCGTCAGTGTGACTGGGTAGAGCAGAGAAGGCAGGAGCAGGCCTCGAGGAGCCTGTCGTGAAAAGAGCAGGAGAGACGGGGCGCGTGAAGAAGCCGGCAGAGGAGGGGGAGAACTGGGGGAGGTGCGTGAAGGAGCGCTGACAGGGCCCGTTGAGGCAGGCCACAGATGTCCTTTGGGTTGAGCGACTTGCAGGTCAAGGGAGGAGGTGACCATCAGCCACCTGGTTCAGACGGTGCTGGTTTACTTGTTTGGTAGCACAGTGTCCAAGGTAGCATTTGTCCCAAACAAAAGTGGCCTGTTTGTCACCCTGCCTTGTCACTGTGCATCATCTGAGGGCTGGCGGGGGCTGAAGCCAGACTGTGGCCAGTGGGAGATAGACGTGGACACGGCGAGGTGGACAGGTGGAGAGAAGGTCGGCCGTGGGGAGATGGGGAGAGGGCCGTCTGGGCGGGTGGGGTTGGGGGTTAAGTTGCTTAATTACGGGTGGGTTGATGGGGGGCATCCGCAACCATGGTAGTGGGGGCCACTCTGAGGAGGTGAGGTCATCCTGCGTTCAGTTGTACACCTTCTTAATCGAACATTTTTCTGGCCGCATGGGTGTGTAGAAATTGAAAAGTAAACCCGAACACTGTTCAGTTTAGGGAGACTGTCTGTAGAGGCGGGAGGGCTCAGACTGCCCAGCCAAACGGGCTCTTCTCGGGGAAGGAGAACTTGTATGTTTGTTGTTTGTTTTAATTAGTAGATGTGATTTTTTTTAGAGCAGTTTTAGAAACCTAAAACAGAAAGACTAAATGGAGAGTGCAGTCGTTCCCCTTCCCTGCCCCCTCCCCACATAGCTTCCCTTATTACAAATGTCTTGCATTAGTGTGGTACATTTGTTACAATTGATGAGTGAGTATTCATACTTTATCACTAACTGAAGTTTATAGTTTACATTAGATTCACTTTCTGTATTACCTAGTTTTATGCGTTTTGACAAATGTATGATATCATTGTATCCCCTGTGATGGCATCATAGAGAGTATTTCACTGCCCTAAAAGTCCTCTGTGCTCCCCCTATTCCTCCCTCCCCCCAGCCCTGGCAACCACTGACCTTTTCACTGTCTGTAGTTTTGCCTTTTCCAGGATGTCGTATAGTGAGGATCGTCCATTATGTAGCCTTTTCAGATGGGCTTCTTTCACTTAGTAATGTGCATTTAAGGTTCCTCTGTGTCTTTTCATGGCTTGATAGCTCATTTTTTTTAGCCCTGAGTAATATTCCATTGTCTGGATGTACCATAGTTTGTTGATCCACTCACCTATGAAAGCTTGTATTTTCAAATGCAGTTTTATGATGACTCAAATTTTCCTTTTAGATATGTCTTAAGAAATACTTCATGCAGAATAATACAGAATCACTTTACTCACCTGACTGTTATTAACAGAACTCAATTTTTTTTTTTTTTGAGAAAGATTAGCCCTGGGCTAACATCCATGCCCATCTTCCTCCACTTTATATGGGACACCACCACAGCATGGCCTGACAAGGGGTGTGTCGGTGCGCGCCCGGGATCCGAACCCTGGGCCACCACAGCAGAGCGTGCACACTTAGCCACTACGCCACCGGGCCAGCCCCAGAATTCAACTCTTTTAATGTATTGGTTTATCACATTTACCTTTTAGGTTATGAGCTGTTTGGTCCTACATAGATGTTTTTTTTAATCGTACACAGGACCTTTTGCCAGACATGAAGATATACTGGCCTGACGTCACCCATCCACCTAATCACAGCCATTTCTGGTAAGTCTAAGTACTAACAGCCATCATGGGTCTTGACCCACAAGTGTGAGAGTGTCATGGGTGTGTTCTCAGTGGAACTCAGTGGAACAGATGGCAACACCTGGCTTCTGAGGCTGAGAAGTCTGAACAGCCTTCTATCTGCTGTGCCATTTTCGGTGCCTTTGGGTAAAAGGCATAAATGTCCTTTTCTGGATACAAAAAAGGGTAAATGGAATTTACTTTACCAACTTGTTTTTAATCTATTTCATTCATTACTTCGTTTTAAAAATTTCCTCTACTGAGGTTTAACTAAGCCAAATACTTGCCTAAGAAGCCGTCACTCCAAATCAGACAGGAGAGAATATTTCTCAAAGAAATTGTGCTACTGTCTTGAAATATATCAAAAAAAAGAAGACATAGTTAAGAAAATAATTATCTCATTCGTATGAGAGATTAGGGCAGAGAGAAAGTGGGCTTTTCACTTGCGGCCCAGTCCACAGTCTGTTCCAGCGAAGCATCTTTCAGTTCAGCAGGAAATGCTGTTTAAGTCAAGACAGCTTTTAAAATCACTGCTTTAAAAGAAGATAAATTAATATTCCTTTTATTTACATTATATTAACCAAAGACAATTCTTTATTTTCTCCATCTCATTCCAACATGCCGATTTATAATTCACCTTACAACTAATCAGATTTTGTTTAAAATGATTAACTTAACTTGGAAATATTTTTGTGTAGAATTTTCAGGAGAAGAGTTGGGTTTAGAAAAAAGCTTTTTTAAACAAAACAGAATGAAGATGATGTCATCTTCCTGGTTCACTAGTGTTCAGTTTGAGATTCCACTTGGGGGTGTGTGGCAGGGCGGTGGTCTTAGGATTCACAGATCCTGGATCTGTAGGTTGAAATCATCCGTTGGATAGAAAAGAGGACCACTTGATGAAAATTTGGGAGATGAACGGTTCAGGTCTCCAGCACTTGTTCTGCACAGCCTGTGTTCTATCTAAATAGATAATGGCCTTAATGAGTTGAAATGGGAGAAAACAATGAAAATAACCTTTATATAGCACTTCACAGTACACTTCAGAATAATGAATCTATGGTAACTAAGTATGCAAAATATCATTTTTCTAGTTCTTACAATGTTCCATGATAAATCATGAATCAATCAAATTGTTGCCAAGTGGCTTAAAAACAAATCAGCAAACGTACATAAGCCTGTGAGTTGGGTCCTTGAACAGTTAATCCGAATAATGTGAACAGAGGATGCATTTATTTTTGTGCTCTAGTAAAGGCAAAATGATTTACTTTTTCAGGTTGAATAGTTAAATTACACACTTAAAAACTTTTGTTCTCAATGAAAAAGGTGAACATCACACATTAGTTAATACGTATACTGTCTCGAGCTCTGCAGTACAGAATGGCAGACGTGGAGACTGCCTGTGTGGCGCTGTCACCACTGTCTCCCTAGTTACTGCACTTGGGACGCTGTTGCCCAGATCGCCTGTCCTGTGCGAGTTTCTAGGGTGCCCAGAGAGGCGCCCCCAGCCTCTCCTCCTCGGCTTTGTTGTCAGAGAGGGAGGGTTCCGTCAGAAAACGTCTCTCTTCAATCCCAAATAAGGATCCAGTATGCAAAGTAGAGGGTTTTGGTATTACTTGGTGCTCGAGAGAATTCCCTAAGATTAAATCTATTAATAAAATTAGCCATGTCGAAAAACAGTATGTACACAACCCTCTGCAAAGTAGGACTTTTGTTTGTTTTTTGACTCTTGTAAGAAAAAGAACCAGGTTCGGGTCCTGCCCAGAGTGCTGATGCAGCCTCGCTGTGGAGGTGTCCTTGGGCCTCAGCCGTCCATGGGGGGCAGTGACCTCTCATCCCTGAGGCGGGCCAGACAGTCACAGGAGGGTGACCCCAACATCTGCTCATGTGCCCAGTCACTTCAGATTGGTAACTGACAATTTTATGTTTAACGAAAAATGTCCAAATCCAGATGACGTGTGATTAAATGTTTTGAACTACATTAATATCAATACTTTAAATATCCTTATCCCTAACATCTATTGAGTTAAGCTTGCTCCAAAAATAATAATAGTCGACATTTATTGAATTTTTTTTGTGAGCTAGGAACTGTTTGGGCTTGTGTAAAGTGCTCTCCGTGTTTCAGCTGATTACCACACCTCCAATACTCCTGGAGAATAGGTGCTAGAATTATGATTTTTGTTTCACAGAAATGGAGGCACCTATAATGCAGGTTACATTTTCAATTTGTCGGAAAGAGTCTCCTGTTTCTACACTATAGAGTATAGAAAGTTATCGGATACTTCCCTCTGGGAACTATTCTAGATGAAGAAAGTTAGTTATTCATCCATTTTTATCCTTCCTTGGAGTTTCCTGAGGTCTGAGAGACCTGTAACTCACAGCTATCGCCGTTACCTAGAGCTGGCACCCTGGAAGGATTTACCAGTGAGTTAGGGCACGTTTAGATTGTATTTTTGAGGGTTGGCATGAGTGCTTCATGATGGCGGTGTGGATGTTATTTATTGAAACTTCATGAATTCATCGGGGGTAAAGCTGAGGGAACCTGACGCCCATTGTTTTTCCACGCTAACAATGGTTAGCATATGAATCGACAGGTTGTCAGTCATTCTGAAGATGGGTGTAATTTGCATTTAGCATTGGTAGGACGGCAGCGCATCACCCCGGAAGGGCGCTGTGTGGAGTGGAGAGTGGTATTCAGCTGCGGGCTCTGGGACTGCCCAGTTGAGTGGCCTTCAGCACGGCGCCTCACTAGCCCCTCTGAGCCTCAGTTTCCCCATTTCTAAACCAGCAATAATAACTCTTGCCTTGCAGAGTTGTGAGAACCAAATGAAGAATGTGAAAGCGTTTTGTAAAACTTTAATCTGCAATAAAATGTGAGGAATTATTCTCAATAGCAGTATTTCTCTTGAATACAGATTGCTGTTTGGTTGCAGACATGTGGTTAGGCTGCTGTCTTATTACAGTCATCTCTGTAGATGAGTGTAGATGCTATCTATCGTAACGCTGTGATAACGAGCAGAGGCTGTCATGGGGAACGGGCCTCAGGTGTTCTTTGTCACAGCCATTCTGCCTTTTCTTTGCTAGTTGCTTAGAAATGGCGGTGTGGCCTCTCTGAAATTCCCTGGCTGTAAAGCACGAGCTTCCTGGCGAACCTCCAGCGCTATGTGACTTTGTGGGTGCTTGAACGATGCCATTTTCCTTTTTCTCAGCTTTGATTTGCTGTTAATTGTAGAAGGGAATGGACTTGGTTAACAGTGGAAACCTGAAGAGAAGATCAGAGTGCTCCTTGGAGGTTGTCCTGTGCTCACGGGGCCTGTTTCTGAGCGTGGGGGATTCGGATGATTGCCTGTGTTGCAATAAGGCATTTCATCCTTCCTGCTCTGTAAAAGAAACAGCACGCCTCCTGCACGTGCATGTCCTACACTGGGAGAGAACCCATGTGCACGTTTGTGTTGTCCGTTAGTTTCATTACTTTTTAACTAGAGATTTGATTTTTTTAAAAAATACTCTTGCAGGAAGCATGAGTGGGAGAAACACGGGACGTGTGCAGCCCAGCTGGATGCCCTCAATTCCCAGAAGAAATACTTCGGCAAAAGTCTGGATCTGTATAAGGACCTTGCCCTGAACAGGTAGGCGACTCTCGCCATCCAGCTGCTCCTCATGGGCAGTTCCTGTGTGTCAGAGCCTCGCCCTCAGACCTTGACTCTCCAGTTTGTCGGTCCCAATCCTGGGGAGTGTGTGTAGAGCCACACTGCCTGGTGCAGCGGCCTCCACCTCTTGTGCTGTGGACCCTAGTGAGGCAGCAGTGGAACCGTTCCTAAGAAATACTTGCGTCCCCTGCAGTGCCTTTCCAAATCACTCTGGGTGACGACCATGCAGAGTGGACGTGGAGACTCAGGCCGCCTCTCTGGGTATTGATATCAGACAGTGAGTGGGCCTGAGGAAAACAGGGCTCTGACCGGGGCCTCCTTCAGCCGTGATTTCTGACCCAAGTGTACAAGTCTGCTGTGTTAACACGGCAGTGTCTCTAATGTGGGAAATCAGTAGTCTCTGGGTCTTTGCTGAGTGCTCCCAGAAGAAGCAGGAGGAGGCGGTGGACGAGGGTCCCTGAAGCCCTAGAGATTACCCAGACCTGTGTGATCCTGCCACTGCCTACCCCTCACCAGCTCTGGAGACCAGGGGAGCGGGTCACTGCGTGTGAGCTACCAAACTCATAAAAACCAGTAGAGTGGCCTGTCGAGAACCAGGGCCCAACCCGCTCAGGGCCTGGCCTGTCACCAGGGCAGCAGGGGGCAAGGCCAGCCTTCCACTGTCTGGACGTTTCTGGTGTACCAAGTGTGTGAGGAATTCTTTTTTTTTGTTTTTTTGTGAGGAAGATCAGCCCTGAGCTAACATCCGATGCCAATCCTCCTCTTTTTTGCCGAGGAAGATTGGCCCTGGGCTAACATCTGTGCCCATCTTCTAATTTATATGGGACGCCACCCCAGCATGGCTTGACGAGCAGTGTGTCAGTACGCGCCCAGGATCCGAGCCTGCGAACCCCGGGGCGTCGATGTGGAGCACACGCACTTAACCACCGGGCCGGCCCTGAGGAGTTCTGACTGGTCATAATAAACCAGTGAACTAGTTTTCAAAACCGTGGCAGGAGATTATACAGCTTGCGTTAGTCAGAGCAAGCCAGAATACAATCAAGAACCTTTGCTAATCAACTGTATTTAAGCTGCGTGAATCGAATGTGCTGAGAAGATGAATAGGCCTCCCTCAGCTCTCTAGACACGCGCTCTAGTCCCTCGGCGTGCAGAGGCGGCCACAGGTGGCGCGTCACCCTCCCATTTCACTGTGATCAGAAGCGATCTAACAGCTGAGATTTGGATGAGGTGGCACACGCTGGAACAGGAGGGGCAAGCGCCTTTGGGGACCAAGATTACATGAAGAACACCCTGCAGATCAGGGTTCAAGTCCCCACCTCACAGGGGTCATGCTTTCAAGTGTGCCTTTGACCCTGCTTCTGACACTAGCCAGTTGTCCAGTTTGGTTATCGGCCTCTTTGGGTCTCATTTCCAAGCTGTAAGATGAAGGGCTGGGTCGCCCTTAGACTCTGAAGTCTCTTCTAGCTGTTAAATCTGCAGTCCTGGGTCCATACGCTAAGGAATTGGCATGAACAGCAGCATGTTACAGACCCTGTGTGATGTAATTATCTGTAGGGTTTTTGTGCGGGAAGCACTGTTTTCTTGCAGTAAGAGCAAGGCCTTTGGAAACATCTCCTCAACCAAAAACTGTAGACAATACCCACTTCAAAATCCTTGCGAGAGTTAACTGAGAGGAGGGTGCAGCAGAGCTCCTGGATCCAGGACAGGTGCAGTGACAGAAGCAAGACTGACAGCACAGCATCCACGTAGGAGCCTTTGGAAGACAGGCAAGATGCCCTCTGTTTCCAGATAAGGGCTCGTGGTCCTGATGCTGCCACAGCTACAAGTAATGTGAGGTCGGGCTCACTCCACCACCCAGTTTTTGTTGAATCAAACAGGGAAAGGAGAATAAATCATACTGCTGAAAGTTTTTAAATAAAATATGTAAGCAATTCATCCCTTTATCCAACAACTGTTTATTAAGGACCTCCTGTTGACACTTGTTGAATCTTGGTAGCTTTATTCATATACACACATGCACAAAATCGCCAAGTCCCAGGATCACTGGAGACTCATCCAGCCCTGGCCGTCGATGGGCGGTGCTTTTCTAGTCATTCAGGCGGCAAGTATTTACAGAGGGCCTGCCAGTGAGAGCACTGCTGGGCATAGGATGTTTGTTAGAAACTCTGCAGAACAATTATAGAGCAATTACATCCTTTCCCAGTTTCCGCAATGAAAATCTAAAATCTTAGTACTCACCAAATTAAACTTAAGAAATCAAAGCTTAAAATCCCTTGTATTTTTCTCTATATTGTGAACCATTACTGCAGCTTCTCTTTTTCTTTAAGCCTGTCAAATTATCATAAACTAGCAGTTTTTTATTCACTTTATGATATGAAGGTAGTAAACCTGAAAAAATGCAGACTATCTTGAATCGAAGTTCTCGGATTACCCACAGATGTGGGGATTAATGCCAAACTCATCTTAACTCAGTAGAAAACACTGTAGACACCGTTCTGGGCCAGATGCCAGGTCCCCCACATCTCCCTCTCTCTCTGCTTTATTTCCTCGATGACCTAACTCAGGAGGCCCTAGAGCAGTGCTGCCCGCGAGAAACAGAACACGAGCCACATGCGTCATTTTAAATTTTCTCGTAGCATCATGAAAAAGAGCAAAAAGAGGGGCCAGCCCAGTGCTGTAGCGGTTAAGCTGCCGACTCCTCGGCAGCTCATCGGCGGGTTCGGATCTGGGGCGTGGACCTCCTCACCACTCATCAAGCCACGCTGAGGCGGCGTCCCGTATAAAAGAGCTACAACTCTACAACTGTGATACACGACCGTGTAATGGGGCTTTGGGGAGAAAAAGGAAAAAAGAGGAAGATTGGCAACAGATGTCAGCACAGGGCAAATCTTCCTCAAAAAAACCACATTAATTTCATAATATATTATATTTTGTTGAATCCAGTATATCCAAAATCTTATCACTGTTACTTGTAATAAATATAAAAAAATTATTGAGAAATTTTGCATTTTGGGGGCATGAAGTCTTTGAAATCTGACATTTATCCTACACTGACACACAAGGGCAGGCAGTGGGCAAATCGATCTCTAGAGCTTCAGGGACCCTCGTCCACCCCTCCTGCATGGTTTAGGAGCACTTCAGCAAAGATCCAGAGACTCCTGATGTTCGGTGTTATTAACACAATACACCTTTGTCAGAAATCAAGGCTGAGGGAGGCATGCCCTGGTCGGAGCCTTGGTTCCCTCTGGCCGACTCCTGTCTGGTGATGTCAGTACCCCGAGAGGCGGCCTGAGTCCCGGAGTCCACTCTGCCTGGTTGTAACCCGGATAATCCAGAGAGGCGTGATGGGGCTACAGAGTATTTTTTTGGAGTTATTCATCTGAGAATTTTTTATATTGTACTCCATAATTGAATAAGTAAGTTCATCACATGGTGCTTTGATTAGGATTTGCTGTCTTTGGTCAAAACCATGTGCTTTAGGAAAGGATTCAAGGCTGTAGGTGTCGAACGTATTTCAAGTGCGGTTTTCTAGGATAAGCCTAGAATCCAAAAGCGGTTGGTAACCTTTTTTTAGAACAGGTGTGGCAAACACGTGGCAGTATGTGTGCCGACTCCGTGTGGTAGTGGCCATCCTGAGCACTGCTGAGAAGGGTCCAGGGGCTGGAAGGAGAACTCGGATCAGCAGTGTGCACCGGGGGCAAGGGGAGGGCGGGGCGGCTTGAGTGCCATGTATTTCCTGTCCTTGTTAACAGATTTGTTTCTCAAAGTAATAGAAAATAAGCACTTTCCTTTGAGAGCATCTTAATTTTTACTATGAAATATGGTGTTAGAATAGAACAGGAAAGGAAAATGGACCTTCATTATACAGCTAATTTTTTTTTACTTTCAATTTTAGCATGCTCCAAAAATTGGGGATAAAACCCTCTATCAATTACTACCAGGTGAGTCTTGCTCTCAGCCTCTTGTCAGATGTGTGGGTACTGAGGACACCTAGCAATACCAGTGTCACTTCGCCCGGGAGCCACCGTTGGGTTTTCAGTGACCCGAACAAGCCCGCCTCCTACTAGACTGTTACGTTTCTCAATAGATTTATTTAAATTTTGTTTTCCTGTGCATATTGAGTATAAACCGAAGGCCACTTAAACCAATGACTTTGAAGCCCAGAGTCATGGTCCTTGGGGAGAAATGTGTTCCAGGTTCAGACGGGGCCGGTGGAATGTGCAGTTTGAAAAGCATATTCAGTATTATAATATTTTGTTTGTGGAAGAAACATAAAATTTGTTTCTTTTGTTTGCATGATAAAACTATAGAGATGTAAGCATGACCAGATCTTATTGGCTGGTAAGCATATGTAAAAGGTCATTGTTTTCAAGCCACACCCCACTCCTGTCATTTGGGGTTGTCCCACAGAGACCAACTGCGTGACTCGCAGAGCCTAAAACATTTTGTCTTGGGCCTTTTACGGAGTAAGTTTGCCAACTCTCCCTTTAGAGAAACATATCTAATTCTTTGAGATAGTTTTTATATTTAGCATCGGTATGGATTTAAAAAAGGTTTACAGTTGCTGATCTTCGCAAATCCATGGTTCCAGTCTCATGGCTGGATACTGAACCATTATTCTGGTCTCTGGACAGTCTGTGGGATCAGTGGCACCCTGGTCTCTGCTCTCTGTGGTGCGTGAGTTCGTCCGTGCAGCCAGTTTCCAGCTGTTGAGTTTTTCTCCGGCCTGGAGAGCGGGGAGGGAGGACACAGTGACCCTGGGGAGGGAGGGTCAGCTGCCCTTCCAGGAAGCCATGAGGAAGTGTGTTGCAGGGCCCTCCCGTCCTCAGCTGGTTTCATGGTGGATAAGGGAAACATATTTTACATTTTTGCCCAGAACTTGGCGTTCAGAGAACTGATTTCATTTATAATAAAAGCAACAATGACCACAGATGTTTTCTGAGCTCCTTCTCTGCCGGAGGCCCTTGTTAGATTAGAAATAGCATGATGCCTGTAGCTCAGACAGAGGGCCTGACCTATGAAAGTGGGTTTGATTGACTGTCAGGAGATTTTCTGCTTTTGCATCCAGCATCCAGGCGCTGAGTATAGACAGAAGAGCAGGCAGAGAGGAGAGTGGAAACCATGGGGAGCAATAGTGGTGCCATTACAGTCTGGTGGGTGGAGCCCGAGGGGGTGACATCCTCTCCTTGGTCGGGGTGGGGGTTTCATTCACCAGCATCTGAGTCCTGTGTGCGAGCCCAGAGGTGCTCAGGGAGGAGATTACACTGTTGTTAGCTGTGCAAGAACGTAAACCAGAGTGTCAGGTCTGAATAGAACACAACTAAGTTTTCTCTGTTCAAGTTTCATTTCTAATGCACTTTATTTAATTTCAGATTTCAGATATTAAAGACGCCCTTGCCAGTGTATACGGAGTCATACCTAAAGTCCAGTGTCTTCCACCAAGAGAGGTCAGACGTGCTATGTTGTGTCGGCCTTTCTGTCTTTATCGGGAAGACAAGTTCAACTCTCCCGACAGCTTTGTGCTCACCAGGAGTTCCCAAGGGCAGAGTTGTGTGTGTGTGTGTGTGTGCATGGGTGTGCACACAGGCATGTGTTGTCTGTGCACGAGTATGTGTGTGTGTGTGTGTGTATTGAAATAACAGATTGTTCTTTGACGCTATGCTAGGATAGGGTTTGTTTTCTTGACACTTTACCCTAACGAGAAGGCACCTGTTCTGGAAGGGCAGGTGGAGAAGGGAGCAGAAGGGCTTGTGGACACGTTACTAGAGTTAAACGATTCTGAGTTAGAAAATTTCTAAGTGTTTACAGTGTTAGTCTTAGTGATTTTAGTTGTAGTTATCTGTCCAATTTATACACGGATTGTAGTTTCTTTTGTCAGCTGCGATACTGTGATTTATAAGAAATATATATTTGGTCATTCAGATGACCAAAATATATTTTTCATATATATTTGGTCTTTGTCCTGTTCCTAGCTCACAGCTCCCCAAACTCTTAGAATTTCCTAAGTGATGAGAGTGACAAAGGTGTCTTTTGTTATGTGAATGAGGCGACTGTGGGGGGCTGGTTACGGGTGGAGCCAACCCTGTGATTAGAGGCTAGAACTTCCAGTCCCACCCCCAGCCTCCAGGGGGCACAGGGGCTGAGACTGAGTTCAATCACCAGTGGCCACTGAGCTCATCAATTGTGTCTGTGGAGTGAAGCCTCCATAAAAACCCCAAAGGAGGGGTTCGGAGAGCTTCCGAGTTGGTGACCATGTGGAGACTGGGGGAGAGTGGCGCTCAGAGAGCATGGCAGCCCCACACCCGTTCCCCATAACATGCCCTGTGCATCTCTTCCAAGTGGCTGTTCCTGAGCTGTCTCCTTTATAATAAACAGATCATCTAGTGAGTAAACTGCTTCTCTGACTTCTCTGAGCCACTCTAGCAAATTCACTGGACCTGAGGAGTGGGTGGTGGGAACCTGTGATCTATAGCCAATCGTTCAGAAGCACAGGTGACAGCCTGGGCTCGAGACTGACGTCTGAAGTGGGGGCGGGGGACAGTCTTGTGGGAGTGAGCACTCAGCCTGTTTCTCTTTATGTATTTTTCCTATTATCTGGAAGAAATAGAGTGGAATGTGGCATGTGATGCTGCCTCCGGGTAGATGGGGTCAGAATTGAGTGGAATTGTAGGACACCCAGCTGGTGAGCCTCCACACCCACAGTTTATCAGCTGGTGAAGACTGTAGTTCTTTTAGCAATTCTGTTTACCTCTTTATCTGCAAAAGCCGTTTCTTCCCCTGGCCCCGGGATGCGTGTGCTGTGTGCAGTTGTGTTGCACGTGCCTGTGTGGCTGTGTGAGTTTCTCAGATGAAAGCCCAGGTCTCACGCGCGGCTGCCAGGCGGGCGTAGGGAGGCGTCTGGGTCGGCCTGGAGCCTCGAGCCGCAGGCTGAGCCCGCTGCCCACAGCCCGTCTCTTGGGGCCCCAGTTCAGCGTTACGGGGGGGGTCTTGTTCCCGGAGCCTGGAACCCAGGTCTGCAGCCACTCTTTTGTTTTCTTCAAATTCTAAAATTTGATGATCCTAGAGCCTCGATGATAATTCAAATCTGAGTTCTAAAACGCTTCCCATCTTTCATTGTAGGGTGAGGAGGTGCAAACCCTCGGGCAGATAGAGCTGTGCCTCACCAAGGGCCTGCAGCTGCGGAACTGCACGGAGCCTGGGGAGCCGCGGTCCCGCCGGCGGGACGCCTGGCCAGCCAGGGCCACCGGCCAGGGCCCAGGGCTGGAGGTCTGTGAGGACGGCCCCGCCTTTTACCCGCCACCTGACGAGACCCATCACTGACGCCCCAATTTTGGAAATATTTTCTGTTATGAAAAGCAAGAGAAATCCACAAACCACTGCTTTTTAAGAAGCAACTTTAAAGTGAAATCCGTTTGCAGCTTTCTTGAATGTAAGCCTGTTGGTTTTGCTTTTCACTCCGTGTCTGTGAGTTGATTTTTGTGGCACATGTAAGGAGGGGTGAACATCGGGTACATTGAAAGAAAGGAAAGCTCCCACGCCTGAGTAGCTGCTTTGTAGTTGGAATAAAGCTCACAGTTTTTTCTTTTTTCTCCTTTATTAAGCTATTTGGCATCTTAGACAAGGTAGGCACCCTGGGAGTTTGGACAAATGGTACAGATTCAGGAAACTCTGGCCTGTATCCCTCTCGGAGCGAGCTGCCGTCTTGGCCTGGGGGTCGTGTTGGGAGCTGCTCTCAGGCAGGAGCAGGCTGATGCGGGCTTGGGCACTGAGGGGCGTCTCTACCTGCCATCTCAGGGTTGACGGTTCTTGTTCCATGAGGCCAGAGGCGACAGGATTCATTCACTGCCAGCGTCTCCCTTGGTGGCCTGGCGTGGGCACAGGCTTGTCCCCTGTGGGCCCTGGTGCTGGCAGGGAGATGCTCTGAGGAAGGGCTACAAATGTCTTCTCTCCTCCTGCCAGAGGGAATCTGGGTGTATTGACAAGTGCCAGGCGGCTTCCCCGTCAGGGCAGTAGATGCTCTGCCCACTGACTAACACCTGCAGGTCACTTTATATCAGGTTTCGACTCCTTTCTTTCGGAAGGTAGCCGGGGCCCTGGGGAAGATTCAGCCCTTGATAAATCAGTATTTAGAAATCCTGTGATGCAGGGTAGCCCCAGGTACACTGCTTCACCCTCAGATAGCTGCGCTCTCCTGATGCCCGATGACATGGTTTTTCTCACAAGAGATGGGAGAGCCCCAGGCGCAGGTGGGCGGCTGCATGCAGGTCTTTACCTGCTGTATGGGACTTCATTTGTAAAATGGGGACACCTAATGTTTGTGCAATGACTTCCCGTGCTTTATTTTTTGTGAGGAAGACCGGCCCTGAGCTAACATCTATTGCCAATCCTCCTCCTTTTTTTCCCCCCCTTTTTCTCCCCAAAGCCCCAGTAGATAGTTGTACGTCATAGTTGCACATCCTTCTAGTTGCTGTATGTGGGACGCGGCCTCAGCATGGGCGGAGAAGCAGTGCGTTGGTGCGCGCCTGGGCTCCGAACCCGGGCCGCTGTTAGCGGAGTGTGCACACTTAACCACTAAGCCACAGGACCAGCCCCTCTCATGCTTTATTAAAACTACCTTTACCATTATTTCTCCCTGGTCTCTGCCCTTTTTTAATGTTTTTAGCTGTGTGGGTTAAAATGTGACGCATCTATTTGTCTTAATCAGGTTGATGGTGTCCTATTTCTTTTATTTAATGAACACTTAAAATAGAACTTCCTATTTGCCAGGCATGTGTTGAGCACTTTAAAGTATTATTTAATCCTAAGAACAACCATATTTTCAAAATAATCCTATCTTTAAAAAATTAAATTGAATGACTATGAAAAGTGGTACTGTTAGGAATGAAGTTTCCTTTTTCAGGTTTTATAATGACTGTTAGTGATGGGGTTCAGGGCGGGCCACCCCAGAGTGGGCCCCTTCGGCATGTGAAGGATTTCAAGCTGAAGACAAGGTCCAGCAGACTCGAGAAGAGCTTTCTGCCTCCTCCTCAGCTGTCTAAAAGACTTCAGATAGGGGCCTGGCCCGTGAAGAGAGCGGTTATCAGAGAGAACTTTCACGTCTGAGCAACTTATCTGCACGGCATGGCAAACATGTTTACCAACATTTGCTCCTCCCCTTTCCCTGTGAAGTGTCTTCCTTCCCTTTGACCTCCCAGACCCCTACCCACTTCTCCTTAGCTCAGGATGGTATATAGCCCTCAGTTGCCTGAAAGGGAGCCTCCGATCTTTGGGGTTCCCATACATGTGAAATTAAATTTTTTTTCTCCTGTTAATCTGTCTTATGTCAATTTAATTATCAGGCCAGCCAAAGAACCTAGAAGGGAAGAAGGGAAAAGTTTTCTTCCCGACATTAGCTAACAAGTAGGTATGAGTGACTCCAATAGCATAAAGAAAAAAAATGCTGAATTTGTCTTCAGAGGAAATCCTAATTTTATTTTCCGACAGGGTGAATCTCTAGGCCTTTTTCTGTGTGCCTAGGGCTGCCATAACAAATTACCACAAACTAGGAGGCTTAAAACAACAGAAATTTATTCTCTCACTGTTGTGGAGTTCTGGAAGTTAGATCAAGGTGTGGGCAGTGCCTCGACTCCCTCTGAAGGCTCTAGGGGAGAATCCTTCTTTGTCTCTTGCAGCTTCTGGCAATCCTCGGCTTGTAGATGCATCACACTATCGGTGCAAAATAACCAATAACCATTCTGTAGAGGAGAGAGATGAGATGAGTTAGTTTTACTTGAGCCAACCTGAGGATTATAACCCGGGAAAGCAGTTTCCACAAAGGAAGAAAGCTTTCTGCAGAAGCATGGTTTTCAGTGCAGTTTTATACATTTTAGAACAAAGAACATAAATTAAACACGCCCAGGATACATATTCATCAAAGTTTCAAAGAGGTGTTCAGTTGCAAATTAGCAGGTCAACGTGAGCCTGATGTCCAGGTGAGGGAGTTTATCTTCAGAAATACTGATACAGGTGTTACTGATACCGGTGGGTGTAGGAGGGCAAGTATGCATCCTTACCTTAAAAGAGTGCCTTCTTGTACTTCGAGATAAAGTTTGATGCATTCTTTACTTTAATGGTTAAAGCAGATGTACAATGTATGTTTGATAAGCCATAAGTCAGGCTTTAGTTCAGGCAGAATCAGTTTTGAAGCAGAATAGCTACCCCATCTACCTCACTATGTGAAAATCTCATATCAACTCCAATCTCTGCCTCCGTCATCCCACGTCGTCTGCCTATGTGTGTGTCTGTCTGTTCCTAAATCTCCCTCTCCTTTTTCTTAAAAGGATGCCAGTCATATTGGATTAGGGCCCACCCTAATGACCTCACTTTAACTTGATTACATCTGCAAAGACTCTATTTCCAAATAAGGTCATATTCACAGGGCCTGGGGTTAGGATGTGGACTTGCCTTTGGAGGACACAATTCACTCACAACACATACCAACAGGCAAGACCCGTTTGGCTGCTTGTCTTTGCGTTCTGTCTTGACTTGTCGTGATGTGTAATTGCTCCAAAGAGGAGCTCACTGACTAATGATCCTCAGAAGAAAATGAGGAACCTGGGAATCATTGAAGAAGGAGGTCTTTGAAGTATCTCAACACAGATGAAACCCATGCAATAAAGTTGGCTTTACTTGCTCAGGCCTGAGGGGGTTTTTTGAACAAGATGAAGGTTATCTTTGGTAACTTTTGCCTTTCTGATAATGCACAAAGACTGAAATGAGATAACACCTGACAGATGCTAGACAGGTATATTCAAGACGTGTATATTTCAGTTACAGCCACCTGGAACTTCAGGTGAGCTCTGACAGATGCATAAACAAACTGCTAGGAGACAGAAGGGGCAAACAGTCTAGTGCTGGCAATGGAAGGTCAATGAGGACGTAATGGTGGAGAAGGGCCAGTAAGGTTAGCTCTGTGGAGAAGTTTTACTGGGAGATGTCTCAGCAGATCATTCTGGGTCAGTTTCTCCTGGTACCCAATGGGTCCTTTCAAATACATAGATTCACATCATTCATCTCTGGAATGTTTTCCAGGATGATCGTTTTAAATATTGGTTCTGTTATGTCATTATAGTTTTATTCTTTAGGGACACCAATTATACACACTGTGAAGAGTCTTAATCTAAAAGTAACCACTAGAGGGCCAGCCCCGTGGCTTGGCAGTTAAGTGCGCGCGCTCCGCTACTGGCAGCCCGGGTTCGGATCCCGGGCGCGCACCGACGCACTGCTGCTTCGGCCATGCTGAGGCCGCGTCCCACATACAGCAACTAGAAGGCTGTGCAACTGTGACATACAACTATCTACTGGGGCTTTGGGGGAAAAAAATCAATCAATCAATCAATCAATAAAAAATAAAAGTAACCACTAGAGTGAAGACGCAACCTTCCTAACGACCAAAATGATTTCTTTTTTTTGGGGGGGTGAGGAAGATTGGCCTTGAGCTAACATCCGTTGCCAATCCTTTTTGCTTGAGGAAGATTGTCGCTGAGCTAAGATGTGTGCTCAATCTTCCTCTATTTTGTATGTGGGACACTGCCACAGCATGGCTTGATGAGCAGGGAGTAGGTCCGCACCCAGGATCTAAACCGGTGAACCCCAGGTCGCCACAGTGGAACGTGTGAACTTAACCACTATGCCACCGGGCCAGCCCCCAAAATGAATTTTTAACAAGGCAAAAAGGACACATCAGAGAGGAAACAGCAAATGTAACATAGACACACAGTAATTGCAAGATGATCTAAACTATGGAATTGAGACCAAACGTATCAGCCATATAAATACATGTGAATGGGCTTCATTGGCCCATTTAGAAAGAAAAGATTTTCAAACTGGCTGGAAAGCAAACCTTACTGCATGGTGTATAAAAGAGACACAGCTAAAATGCAGTGATTCAAAAAGGCAAAAAATAAAGAGAGGGACGGAGATTTACCAGGCAGATGGAGACAGTAGGGAAGCAGGTGTTACAATCCTGACGCCAGACTTAGTGGATTTCAAGTCTCCCCACAGCATTCAAGGAGACGCAGGAGGGTACTTGATGGTGCATACAAATAAGCACTGCTTTTCGAAGACAAAGATGCTAAATGATAAGTGGTAGCTTCCTTCAGATGGATCATAAAGTGATGGTATCAGGACTTTGATCAAAAGCGGTACCTTTATTTTTTCTTTTCTGTGATAGACAGAGGAACTCAGCCCTGCTTGCTGTGTGCTGTGGGTGGGGGCCGACTTCAGCCGCTTAGGAAAGAAGCTGCCAGTGTGGCCTCAGGGGTCTTGTCCCTCCGTCCCTCTCTGAGCTCACTGTAGGTCTATGGCCCCACTTCTGTCTCTCGTGTTTTCTCCTGGTTTGCCGGCCCAGAGTACATTTGTTCCTCTTCTGCTCTGATCATTTGTGTTCAGCTGTGAGGAAAGGGAAGAGGTGAAAACATAAAAAGGGATTTTATCCTGTCTAGACTGGCACGATGTCCCGACTACCTCGGTGTCCTCCGCGGTGTCCTTGCTCAGTGTGGAACCTTTATGTCTCAGAGCCATTTAAAAGATTGCTGTTGTTTCTTTTGAGTCGTTTTGCAAACACATGGCTCAAGTCTTCAATTCATTATTCCCAGACGAGCTGGTGAATGTAAACCAACTTCGCGTTTGGATCGCATTTATGCTATGGCCTTGGAGAAGAGGGAGAGCAGTGTCTGGCGATGCCTTCAG